AGCATAAAAACAACTGAGACAGGATGATCTAAGCACTGTATGTCTTAATCCAAAACACTTAAGACTGCTATAGAAGTGAATATGGATTTGAATTTTATCTCTGCTCTGAATGAAGGTAATGAACTTGCTCATGATGTGAAGAAGAAAGGAAATTCTTTATTTCTTCAGGCAATTCATAACATAGTTTCCTATTTTGGGTCAGAAATTTGGCATAGCTTTTTGTACCCTATCCCAGTAATTGATTATGATGATATTGTTTATATTATTGTTGTTGTTGTTGTTGTTGTTGTTGATATTAATTCAGAAGAGCCATGGAATGTCATTTTTATCAAATTCCAATGTGAATAGATATGCATCCAACACTAAGCTGAATAACCACATTTGTAATGTGGCTACATAAATTTCCCCAGCAAAATAATTTCTTTCAGAATTAGTTCTGCCATCCACTGACTAAACAGAGATTCTGCATGTCATTCTTCTGCCCTTTTTATCCCTCTTACCAAGAGCTAGCCTGCTGCAATCACATCAGTTTAGAAGCTGTGAGAGAGGCTTTATCCAGAAGAGGGAAAGTATTGCAAATAATGAAATAAACATGCAGCAACACAATGTAGCACTGATTTGTAAGGTCCAGTAAATAACAGGTGATGAATTTATACCAAATAACCACAAGCACTTTTTTATTATGAAGTACCCTATATGTTAGGAAAAGCCACCAGAAAACATGCAAAACTCCCTGTCCATTTGGAAGAATGGAACCCAGCTTACAAGAAAGTAATGTGGGTGACACAGGAAGAATCCAAGAGCGAAGCTCCCTTTAATTTAATGAATCTCAAATTGACACCCACAAGCATAACAAATTCACTTGAAACAATTTCTGGTCTCCTAGGGAAATGACAAGGAGATGGAATGGGCATCAGCTGACTACTCCAGGTTCTAGATCCCTTGAGGTCATCCTACTAATTTCATATTGCAAAACATTGCCTATTGCCTAACTGCCAATTGTAGTCAGGGGAACTGGAATTATGACCCATTTATTTTTCCAGTGCAAGAAGAAGCAAACACAGCACTGACCTGTGTCTATTTGTAGTGCCTCACATGGAAGGGTTAAATCAGGTATAGACAGCCCTTTCCTGCACAGCAGACAGCTTTTAAGCAGGTTCAAATATACTGCAACCAGATTAAAAACTGCAGTGGGAAGTGATAGCTTTCAAGGAGTGCTACTATGGTTTTGCCTTCCCTCTGATACACAAGGGGAACACAGCCTGGAAATAACACTTGCCATGGTCTTCAAAAAGAAGGAATCACATAGTCACATAAATTTTGGCAACCACTCTTTCCACTTCCTTCCTGTCCAACACTAACCATTGCAATGACTCCAAAGGGATGTCAGGGGAGAGTTTTCAGCCTGCCTTTCTTGTAACGCCTTTCTCATCAGAGCAGCCAAACATCACATGTCCCCAGCAGATACTGCTCCAAAGCAGCACTGGCACATTAGCTCCAGCCAGATGCTGCTTCAGATGCTGAAGGAACACACTCCTTAAAGATTAACAAAGAGGTATTTGTACCTGAGGCAAATGACAATGATCATGACTGTCAATCAAGGTCAACCTTCTATCACTTGATCCTTTTTGTTAGGAAATATGCAGGGTATAATTTTTACCATTTGGAGTAGCAACATTGTCCAAAGCTGCTTGCAGCCAGTATACAGAAATACATCCTGACATTGCCATTAGGCATGGAAAGATGGCATTATTGCTAAAATTATTCTTCTGACACCAGTTGTAGGGCTCCCTGGTATTTCTCTGTGAGTTTTGCCATGCTACAAAGCAGACTGATCTATTTAGAAAAGCCTTGTAAGCCGATGACACAGAGTCAGACAGCAAACCTGGGCTGATTTACCAGCATCACTTAACATCCAAGGACACCAGGATCATGTTTTTCAGGATAAGGAAGTGTTCAAACAGGACTGATCAGAACATTCTACACCCCAGTAATTCTGCTGAGTGTACTCAGAATGAAAACTACTAAGAACATCTCTTTTTTCAACTAAACTTTAACCAGCTATAACAACAACAAAAAGCCTTTATTAGTTTTGCTTATGTCTTCTCAATGTTTCAACCCCACATTCATCAAACTCCTTACCTGATTGCTACTCCAGGGTGAAATAATCTCTGGTAGTTTTGTTTTGATATTTATCAAGACTGAAGTTCATGCTTTACATGTGGAAAATTCTCCAAAAGGCCAGAATAACCTTAGAGGTAACTATTGCATAGCAAGCAGTGTCAGGTGCAATATTTATTAATGGAAAACACACTGTCTTCATGCACTGAAGTGAAAATATGTGCTCTTCTGCATTCTCACTCTGAGCTATGTCTGCTACTTTTTAGGTCTCTGTAGATTCCATCTATGCCACCAAACAGGAGCATGTTTATATCTGACCACAGTAATGCTAGTTATGCTTTATCTTTGGCCATCAACAGATTAATTATGAAAACACTGAAGAAGTATCTTTAGGTACTGTATCACTCACACTAGGATGACTGTAACAAATTTAGCTCTGACTACAGAAGCATTATTGTTTCCATACAAGATAAATTCAGCAATTACAGAAAGTAATTGTATCCTGTGGCTTACAACAGGCTTGAGTCTTTGCATCTCAAAAGAGGGAAATCCACTACTGTTCTGGTTACATTTGTATGCCTCAGCAATGTATAAATACCCACAGATGTGTAGGCACTGCATGGCTGTCAATACCTACCTCATGTATTGTCCATATTAATCTTGTATGTGGTTTGTGTTTAATTGACACTGAATGCAATAAAATAATTTGTCAATGCCTAAAACTTATTGCACTGATTAAATGCATACAACTTTCTCCCAGCTCTGGCTTAGGAGTGAGAGCAAGCACAACACAGGGTCCTTTGGGAGAATTCCTGAACTGAGTGAGTATTTTGTGTCCACTTTCAACGTTTTCTCCCCAAACAGCTATAGAAGTTTGTTGCAACATCTGTTTTTGTTGCCTCTACCACAGCAACATAGTCTATAATGGAATCTTTTGTTGTAATATATCCCTTTAGATGTGTTGTACTTGTTACCCATTTGTTCAGTACCACATGGTCTGCATTGCAAGAAATGCATGCTAGCTCCTCCCCATCAACTTTGCCCATCATTCTGTACTATCTACATCCCCTAATTCAGAGATCTAGATCATTTATGACTGTGCTGAGAAATGAATGTCTTACCTGGTCCCTCTCTCTACTGTAACAATAGTTAAGAATCATAACAGTTTTCCCTTCTAAACACTAGCATCATTCACGTATATTTCAATTAATATTAAAGAATTTTATTTATATATAAATATGCCCAAATTCCTTCTAAATCTTGCAAAAAAAATTAAGGGAAAAGAAACTGCACTGAAAATATTAATTTTATAGGCAACAGAAAAAAATATGTGCGAGACCTAAAAAGCATGGAAATACCTCTCGAAAGACCACAGGTCCATACATCCTATTTCAAGAGTCAGGAAATTAACGTCTAAGGCTAAGATTGTGTTTACCTATAGTCCTGATGAGTGATGAAATCAAACACTTGCTCTCCTGAAGTAAAGGAGTAAAACCCCTGCAGCCTTTAGACCAGACCTCTGATCACATTTCAAAGAATGTTGTCACTTATAACGCTCTCTTCCTGAAATTGTTTTCTAGGGCTTTCTGCTGGCTGATATGTCAGGAACACCTGCTATAATGGGGGAAAAAATGTTAGTACGAGGATTAAAGTAAGTAAAATGTGACAACTCAAAATACAAAACATGCATTCTGCAAACAGTCTACATCTGAGGAAGAAGTGGTACAATTTGCTGCTGTCAGACCATTATTTAGCATTATCATTTTATTACCTCTTTATCACATTTTATTAGGTCATTAACTCAGAAGACTCTCCCCACATTCTCAAAGAGCGCAGTGCATAGACATGGAGCTGTATGTTCTGTTTCGAAAGGCACAGCCTTGGTATTAAATCTACCTTCTTGCTGACTAGGCTTGAAAGCAGACAAAGATCAAACCTCAGGGAACATCTTCTCTCAAGAACCTTTTCCCAGCTCGACATTTTGCAGCAGAGGAGCGATGCCGGGCCCTGCCGCGGGGCCGCGCTCCCTGAGGCTCGGGCTGAGGCGGCCGGGCCCGGGCCCGGCGCTGCCGCCGGCCGCCGCTGGGGGCTCCCGCCCGCCCGCCCGCCCGCGGCCCGTCCCGCCATTGCTGGCATGGAAGGCGAGAGCACCTCGGCCCTGCTCTCGGGCTTCGTGTTCGGCGCCCTCACCTTCCAGCACCTCAGCACCGACTCGGACACGGTGGGTGCCGAGGGAGGGCCGGTCCGGGTCGGTGGGAGAGGAGGGAGGGGCGGGCCGCCCCCGCCGCGCTGCCGCCGGGCCTCCCCCGCCCGGCCCTGCCGGGAGAGCGCCCGGCGGTCTTTTTGTGTGCGAGCGGCGGAGAAACGCGGGTGTTCCGTGCTCGAACGGGGCGAGGGGCGGCTGCAGCGCCATGTCCGCCCCGGCTGGGGCCCAGCGGAGCGCTGGCCGGGCCGCCCGGCCCCAGCTCGGCGGGCAGCACCGCCCGGCCGCGGACTGCCCGGGAGCACCGCAAACCGACCGGGACACAGGACTGCCTCGCTGAGGATTCCTTCCTAACTGCGGGCCAGTACTGAAAAATGAGCGAGAACCCACTCTGTTAAAATTAAAAAATAGAAAAAAGTTCGTTTTGACAGCATTTTTCCTCTCCTGAAGACAGCACTCACACTTGCTATTAAAGAAAATCATGATAGAATATGCTGAGTTGGAAGGGACCTACAAGGATCATGTAGTCCAACTTTTGGCCCCGCACAGGACACTAAGAATCCCACCAGGTGCCTGTGAGAGTGCTGTCCGAATGCTTCTGGAACTCTGCTAGGCTGTAGTGCTGCTCATTTCCCTTGGGAGCCCGTTCCACTGTTCAAACACCTTCTGGGGGAAAAGCCTTTTTCTGATATCCCACCTAAACCTTCCCCAGCTCAGCTTCATACCGTTCCCTCCGGTCCTGTCACCGCCGACAGAGGGAAGAAATCGGGGTCTGAAGCTCCACTTCTCCTCTTGAGGCAGCTGTGGAATGCAATGAGGTCTCCCCCCACTCTCCTCCAGGCTGAACAGACGACGTGACCTCGGCCACTCCTGCTCTGGCTTCCCCTCTGGACCCTCCACTATCTTTGCAGCCCTCCCTTGGACACGTTCTAATAGCTTTGTACTTTTCTTCCATTGTGGCACCCAAAACTGCACACAGGACAGGGGGTGAGGCCACACCAGCACCACGAGCAAGAGTGTCTGTTCAATGTTACTGTTAATGAGGTGTTTTTTCTCTCTCTTCCCCTCTAAAGGAAGGTTTTCTCCTTGGAGATGTGAAAGGTGAAGCCAAGAACAGCATCACAGACTCACAAATGGATGATGTTGAAGTTGTTTATACAATCGGTTAGTATGTCCACATTTTTCATAGCCTGCTTGGTTTTGGGCAGTAAATGACAGCTTTCAGTTTTGAGGGACAGTAATCTACAGCAAGATCAAAGCTCCAAGATCCTACATGCTTGGCTGATATATAAAAAAAAAAAAAAAACCAAAAAAAACCCCAAACTGAAAACACACGGAAGGGTTATTTTGTAACATTTTAACTACTAAAAAGATTACAATTTTATTGCAGAAAACACAGTAATTTAAAAGAAATAATAGTTCCTAGTTCCTTGGATGGCTATTCTTTGCCAAATATCTTGTTACATTAAACATAACTTAGGGTTTACACCCTTGTCTTGGCTACATCACAAACTCTTCTGGACGACTGTTGCCCTGGAAAAGCTTTGTCTATCAGTGGTGTGAACTGAAATGTATTAGCATCTATTACCTCATGTGGAGCTTATAAAATTGAGTGTGTGAAGGCTGCAAGCTCTTTAGTAATTTCACTAAGCAGATGCCAGATGTATTTTTTGTTATCATCTTGATGTGATTGGTGTTGATGTGCATTGAATAACTCAAGTGAAATCCTTCATACTACATATTTCTCCTTCACTCAGCAGAAGGAGATAAATACAAAGCACCCAGCTTGATTTTTCAGTTGGCATAATAGAAAAGTATACAAAAAATACAGTTTATGAGTGGGTCCCTATACTTTTGACAAAATTAATTAGAATATATTTTTTTAATATTTTCTTTCTTCACCTTATTTAATTTTATGTTAATACATTCAATTTTAAGAAATTATGTAAAATTATTTCTTGGTTCTTCTATGAGTTTCATGCTGATCATAGCATGCAGAAGAATATACATCTTGAGCTGATGAACCCAGAGTAATGTTACTTTCTCTTTCCAGACATACAGAAGCATATTCCATGCTACCAGTTGTTCAGGTAAGAATCTCAAGGAAACAGATATTGAAAAGTTAAAATTAACCCTAACCTGAACTCTTCACGTGTTCAACTTACATCGTCTAAGAAAATCACCCAGCTGTAACTATAGTAGCCATATCAACCTCTTGGAATTACAGATGCAAAATGCCTTATGATATTCCTATTTTGGTTCTTTATATCTTTTTTTTTTTTTTTTTAATGTTTGTCTATGCATATAGAAATAGAGATAAAGCATATTGCACCTTCTGATGATCTATGATACCATATAAACTACAGAACAATGTCAACACACTGAAAAAAAAAAACCATTCCATACATTCTAACCCCTCACCCTTAATAGTATTAATTTAATTTTTTTTTTAAAGTGAGATGATTCTCAGCATGCTAAAGTTATTTTTCCAGTCTAATTTCTTCCCCTCTAATTGTCTTAATTTTCTTATAGCTTTTATAATTCTGCAGGAGAACTGAATGAACTTGCCCTGAAGAAAATATTATCAGGCTGTAAGAAGGTATTTTATTCTTAAATTTAAACCATACTGAGGAGCTCACTCAAATTTTGGAGGCTGTTCCTAACCTCTTGCATCAAGGTTTTTTCTTTTCTCATTTTAAACCTTTTATAGTCCCACATGCTGCTGGTCAAGGCAGCTACATCCTTTTCCTCCATAAAAAAACAGTTTAGCTTATCTTTGACTAGGATTTGCCTACATATGTGTCACAACTTTATTTTGAATTATTAATTTCTCAAGTGAACACTTCAAGGATCCCAAAGGAATTGCACCAGTTTCCACCTTAAGATCAGTTGAGGTCAACTCACAAGTGGTTAAGGACCACTACATCAAAAAGAACTAAACTTTTTTCCACAGAACAGTTTTACAAGGGGAAAGTAGAAGCTGAAAAGAAACAGCGAAACAGAAGAAAGCTTGCAGTTTCACCTTGAACTAAGGCTATGAAACAGACAAATTCAACACGTGGCTTTGAGGGAAAGAAGATGGGAAATAGGCTTAGAAGTTTTAAAGGTTTCAAGTTAACTAATTGCTTGACTATGCACCTACTAGCAAACAATTCAGACATGACTTTGCACTGGATGAAACTTGCTGCAGTGACACACAGGGACATCATGATTCAACAGTAACTGTGAATTTTCTTCTGCCTGCAGAGTGTAATAGGATGGTACAAATTCAGACGTAACACAGACCAGACCATGACATTCCGGGAGAGAGTTCTTCATAAAAACCTGCAGTCACACCTATCAAATCAGGGGCTTGTATTCCTCCTTTTAACCTCTAGTGTGATGACAGAAAGCTGTTCTACTTACAGATTGGAACACGCTCTGCATCGGCCTCAGGAAGGGTAATGTCTACAGCATGTGCTAAAACTTGAAAGTTTCTCTACTTTGTTGCAATTGACTCAGTAACACTGTATATTTTACCTTTGAAACTTACACTTTTAATAAGATTGTTCCTTATGTTGCCACAGCCCAGTTGAAAGTTTACCCTGGAATTCTATTCTGGGACTGCCCTTTTTATCTACAGTGCCAGCCTCACCAAGCAGACACTGTCAGTTTATTTATACAAATAAGCTACACCTGATCAAATTGCTTTGTGCACAGGACCTCAACCATACATGGTGTTCATCAAAATATTTAAATTGGTGTTAACTTTATCTTCAGAGAGATTCTGCTCGCAGGCTAGGCTTAGCAAACAAATGTTGAATTAGTGTGTGCTGTAGTCAGAAAGAGGGGGAATTATGGGCATTGCTCAGCTCTTGGAGTTTGCCTTTAGCCTTATCTGTACATGATGTAATACATTTAGCAAGGATTAACCATACTGTAACCCTTCCATTGGATCCTGAATGGCCAAAAATATTTAACTTTCAATGAAACATCTTTGGATGTTAATAGATCATGTTTTCATACTTATGCATTTTAAGACTTTTCCAGAAAGTTCCTTTGGTGGTTACCAACCTGGGCATGGCAGAACAGCAAGGTTACAGAACAGTGTCCGGTTCCTGTGTATCCTCTGGTTTTGTGAGAGCCATGAGACAACACAGGTACAATACATGTTGTATTTACTGACACCTGTAGCTTCCCATGACCATAACTGCACTTACTTTTTATTAAAAGCATTTAAGTGCTTTTGCAAATGTTATAGCCATACTCTGTTTCACTTGACCTGTTTTCTACAGTTACTTACCATTCCAGCGTACTGGGAAATTAATTCAGTCCCATATTTTGCCAGGAGCTGTCTGTCTCAACACAGGCATCTGGCATTGAAACACAAAATGCTTCTTTACTCACTAAAGCTCCTACTAAGTAAGCACTGGAATCACTAGCTTGCAATTGTGCTGTTCTACTCCTGGTCACAGGTCAGAATTCTTCCATGAAGATGGGTCCCTACAGGAGGTTCATAAGATAAATGAGATGTACGCCACCTTGCAGGAGGAACTGAAGGTAAGCCAGGCAGGCCTGCCTGCCTTCATCAGTTCCACAAAACCAAGGCAGCCAAGGGCTACACATTTTGCACTGCATGAGAAAACAAAGCTAATCTGAAAGGTCAGCAAGTTCTACTTACTGCACTGCACACTACATTCTCAAAGCTGAGGATTTAAGTTCCCATTTGAGTATAGTACAACGTTTAATCTTCAAGTCCGTGAAAAAATTCTCACAAGAGGATTATTTTGAAGGAGTACTCTCTGTAGTTTGTTAGATCTCCTTCGCCTAGATGGGATCAAATAAAACATCTTGCACCTAGTTCAACACAAGGTTTAAGTTATCTGACAGATCCACCTCTAAATCATTACTTAAGCTTTTTACTCTATGTCCAACTTAACCATGAGTACCTTCAAGGATTGTTGAACAATCCTTGTTCAATTTTAAAGTCAGCTACTGTGAATACTGTTAATCTGATCAACATGCTCTTCTCCTTGCAGAAAATATGCATTACAGTAGAAGTCAGTGAACGATCTGTAGAGAAACTCTTAGCAGAGGTGAGCCAATTAAAAGAAGAAATAAAGAGGAAAAAGCAACAAAATTGTTCAGGTAAGTCAACCGAATGTGATGCAAGCCTTGCCCTTCCAAGTTGACTCAAGTGGCAGAAGCAGAAAACACCTCTGAACCTGAGGCAGCCAAAACAGCAGAGGTGCAAGAGGTTCTGCACTCTGACTTTGATTTTTTTTTCCTCAGGAGAAGACAAAAACCACCCAGTGGAGCCAAAGGAGAATGTTCTCCTTTGCCAGGCACTACAAACATTTTTCCCCAATTCCAGATTTCAGACATGCATTGTTTCTTTCAAAGGCCAACAGATATCCAAGAACTGCTGTAACACAGACCATCACATTAATGTCATGGACAAACTGACTCTCATGGTAGAGGAAAGAGACTTCACTGAAGCTGAAACAAGGCATCTAAACAAGCGTAAGGGCAGGGAGACCACATCAGTTTCAAAGTCATTCAAGAAGTCCAGATCATTGCAGCTTCACCAAGAACCACTTCAAGACCAAGAGGACAGTGACCAGGAAAGGAAACTTACACTGAGTAGCACTGAAACAGATGAGGATGTGTTTGAAAAAAACAGAGATGCAAAGGAATACCCACACTCTCCTACTTTCTGATCTGTCAGATGACTTCATGCCAAAAGCTACTGCTGGTGTACTCCAGTGATGTATCAATCTCTAGCACTGCAAGGATGGATGTAACAGGGCATTTTTGCAGGTTGTTTTTTTTCTGTTTTGTTTTTGGTGGGGTTTTTTTCCCCAGTGCACAAATCCTGTTCAGCATAAAGATAAATCCAAGATGACATTCCCTCACTTTGCCTTCCAGAGTTCCATGTGTCTTCTCTCTCTCAGGCTTCAAAGCCTATGCTACAGGATGCTATCAGTGAGACAAGCATGTCATGTGCTGCCTCAAAGTGATACAACTTCAAGCTGCTGGTGAAGAAACAGTGCTACCCACCCTCCTGATGCAGGGAGCATCAAATGAACACGTTACAGAATTGGCTGTCTACACGAACTGCCACCATTTAAATACATTAATTTATCCTCAGGAAACCAGTGCTTGTTTACTTCTGCACACCTTACAACCCAGCAAGGGGAAAAACAGCCACGTGAACTTTAGCAAGACTGGTGAGCAGAGGAAGGGGTCCATAGAGCTGTCAGTTTCTATTATTGCTTTAATCTTCCTTCAGACAGTAACTTTCAGAGACTTCATGAAGAAAAATAGAGGAATGACTGACATCCACCCCTCAGTCAACCACACATTATGCTAGCAAACCACATTTCCAGCAAACAAGTACATGAACATGAAAAAGTTTTATTGTTTATTTCTGTACAGTATATCACTCTGGATACTTGATGTTACATAGCTTGGGGTCTGTGAGAAATTGGGGGTTCTTAAACATAACTGGCATAAATCCTGTTAAAAAAAAAGATGGAGGTGTTCTTAGTAGAAAAGTAGTCTTGAGTTAGAAAATTCAAAAGCAAAATCATACTTACCAAATACATGAGCTCTTTTAATGGCTTTTGTAATTTCCTTCTGCTTCTTGTTGCACAAGCCTAAAGAGATGAATTATTTTCAACACTCAGCAAGTCATTAGAGTGTGAAAAGCATGTTAGTGACAATTCCCTCTAGCTTTGATTAAGTCCTTCTAGAAAAATCATGTGTGCTTTTACTGTTAAATACAAAATGCATACAATTAAAGGATATTTTAATTCCTTGATGCAGGCTACTAAGTCAGGGAAATACCCTTAAAAATGTATGGAGGTGGGACTGGTTACTTTCAGAAAGACTGTTGATGCACAGCTACTTAGACTCATAAAAATATTACTATTGCCCTGTATATGATTTAATTTGATACTTCACATACCTGTGATATGCCTGCCATAAATGGAGCCAGTATATGGAGAAACAAACTGGGAAAGAAGCTAGTTAAATTAAGAAAAATCAAAGTCAGTTAAAGAACGTTTTGTTTTTGGAGCTTTATATTACTACTTGTACTCTATTTTTCATTTTTTCATCTGTTTTTTTCAAAATTCAGTTCTACCTGAAGAAAAAGTACAGCTTGGAGCTAGACAGTATTTTCTATGCTACCATGCTTTGTGGCAGCTGAATTGTAACCAAGGACTCTACTTGTTAACAGCAAAGTTGTCACACACAGTTAGTAGATTAAGCATCTTAGCATAACAACATTATTTGGCCCTTGACCTACACACATTCTTACTCATAAGTTTTAAACCCCTCCATGTATGAATGGATTTTATAATTATTTTTCTTAATCACTTTGGACTTACTATATACACATTTAAAAACAGTAAACCAGTTCCCTTCATCCAAAGACAGCAATTTTAAAACTCACCTGCACATTCTTATAGTCCACATTTATTCCACATAGGACACATCTCTTTGGAGGGTCTTTGTAGGGGTTCTCCATTTGTATGGGCTGAAATCAGAGAATGATTAACTTCTGTAAGCTTCACATGAAAACAGAGAACATTTGTTACTTTTAATCCTTTAATCAATATTTGTCTTGAAACCAGAAGAGATATTTAGTGCACCACTGAACTTTCCAATAACTTTACAAACTCACTTCTTGGTACCCTGCAACTTCAAAGACTTCTCACAAGTAAACAGCCTTTTATATTTTAGTAATAACAACACTAGCAACTCTATTAAATCATTCAGTAAGACAGTGCTTACACCTCCACTTGAAGTCAAAATCTGCAGAAGCTGGTAAAAATATAGTTCTGTCTGACAAGTCACAAGAATCTTTTTCTAAAAAATAATTTCATGGCAAATGGCCTGAGGAAGCTTCCATGTGCATACACATTTTAAAGAGAGAGATTCAGAAACATCTCCCAAGGAGCCTCCTTGGGAGGTATTTCTGAATAGCCTCCTCAAGCTTCAGAATACACCCAGCACCAAATTCTTGCAAGATATGAAAGGTGATTTTTCACTTTGCACAGAGTCACAGAACAGTCAGTGTTGGAAGGGACCTGTGGAGATCATCCAGTACAACCCCCTGCCAGGGCAGGGTCACCTGGAGCAGGTGACACAGGAACACCTCCAGCTGGGGTTGGATTGTCTCTATAGAGAGGGAGTCCGTGCCCTCAGTGGGCAGCCTGTTCCAGGCTCTGCTGCCCTCAGTGTAGAGAAGTTTTCCTTCATGCTGAGGTGAAACTTCTTGTGGTTTTAGTTCATGGCCACTGGTCCTTGTCCTGTCGCCGGCTCCACGTCCGAGCTACTGAGCTATCAGGTTTAACAGGCTGTCATTAAGATACTGAAATACACATTCGTGGGGCCTGAACTCCCAGCGCCTGATGACTTCCCCTGCGCTACGCTCCCCACAATGCACTCGGGTTCTGATGAGCCCCGAGCTACACAGCGACCAGAGCAAAGCGTTCCCAGCACCGCTGGTGTCTTGCGGAGGGGGAGCAGCGGGACAGCAGGGCGGGACAGGTCGGGGAAGCCTCACCTGGTCCGAGCGCTCAGGCTGCCCTTCATGCTGCAGGCGGCGCGGTCGCACCCACAGCTCCGCTGCAAGGGAGAGCGACAAGGTTAGCGACGGCACGGCGCGACAGCCCGCACACGCGAAAGGCCCCGCGGCCGCCCGACACAGAGGGGGAGCAGGAGGGACGCACCGAGAGCCAGGCGCGGCCAGCGCCCCCGCGCCGCCACAGCCTGCGCCGCCATGACACCCCCACCGCGCCGCCGCTTCCGCCCGCGCGTCACTGCCCCCGGCCCCGCCCCCGCTGGCCAATAGCAGCGCGGTCTGCCCGACTCGGGGCAGGCGATTGGCGGCAGCCCGGCCACGTGCTTCCCGCGGCGGGTTGTTACCCGCAGTCTCCGCTCCCGCCATGGTGGCCGTGCCCCCGTGGGGCGGCCCCGCGGTCCCGCTCCGTGCCCCGCCGGGGCCGTGAGGGTCCCACGCAGCCCCCGCGCAGCCCCGGCCATGGCGGAGCCTCGGCTCGCCGTGCGCAGGAAGAGCCGCTCCAGCTCGGAGCGCAAGCGGAGCCGGGCCCCGGCGCAGCCTGTTGCCGCTAGCTCGCCGGTGGCTCGCAAGAGACCGAGCTCCGATGGCGAGGGACCCCCGGCGGAGGCGCTGGTAGGGGATGGCGGGATCCTGGGGCTGGTGGCGAGGCGGGGCAGCTCCGCTGGGAGGATGGTGTGCGTCGGGAAGGGTCGTGTTTTGTGCGAGAGGATATGCTGCCGTTTGGCGTTAGCTTAAAAAAATCATCTCTCTGTGCACATATTCTCCTACTTGTAGGTTAGCTGTTTCACTTAATCAAGGCATTTCTTCAGAACCTAAGCTGGGTTTTCCTCACAGACGACATCACACAAAATGCTTTTGTGTTAAGCTGGGGCAGACTTAAGCGCCTTGGCTCTGATGTTTGCGCTCTGCGTGTTATTCTGCCTTCTGCGGCGTCCCCTCGGGGTGTCAATGACTCCTGTTTCGTTTTTGCAGTGCAGCAATGACAGCGAGGAGGATATGTTTGGTGACTACGACAGCTTCTATGGAAACGATTCCTTGATCGCTCAAGTGGATGATGTTGAACACAAGTACCTGCAGGATGAAAATATGGATGTGAAGGCAGCTGGAGAGGTTGTACTTGGGAACCTTCAGTCAGGAGTTCACCAGAAGGAGCAGGATAACTTCTCTGCTTCACAAAATGTGGTTGTCCTTAAAAGTGACAAAGAGGGTGCCTGCCAAATGCAGGACAGTGACCCAGTTGATGGTGATCAAAAATTAACTGAGTCCATTTTAGATGACTTGCCATCGTCACAACTCCTGTATTTTGAAAAAATGGATGAACTTTCTTCTGCTTCCAGAACATCTCCACTCCCAAAAGGGAGAGATGAACGTGTGGATTCTTTCTCGGACAAAATCAGAGACCCATTGTCTTTTTGTGCTGGTGCTGAACACAGGAACAGACCTATCAATTCTTCCTCACTCTCCAAGTGTGTTTTATTTAAATCTGAGAGTCTCAAAGATCACCTGAAAAGTGCTATGACTGGAAATGCCAGAGCCCAGACTCTGCAGGTCTCCAAGACCAAGCAGCTCAAACAAGCTGTTTTATCTGAAGAGATTTTTGTGGCTAGGAAAGCTATTGAATCTTCTTCTCTTGATATAGGCCCTTTTTATGGATTACCTAGCAAGGTTAAAGATTTATTCAGACAACTTCGAGGGATTGAAACACTTTATGGTAGTGTAACCATTGGTCTGTTGGAAAAAAAAAAAAGAGAACTGCTAGTGGAGTATTGTCTGTTTCACCCATTATACTGTAAAAATATTTAAGGTAATGCTTAACATAAACCACATTGGAAAGTAGTTGTTCTGTTTTAGGAAGTGGCTGTTTTGGTGTTTTGGATGGATGGTATCCATCTGGATTACAGAATAGTTTAGAAGTCACCATCACTGAAAGCTTTAAGTGCTTTTTTGAGGAAAAGCTCTCAAGGGCTGGGCTCATTGTGTTCTGAATGAAACACAGGCATTTTCATGTTAACTAACATTCCCCTGGGATTGCTGATAGTTCCATTTTCATTTTGCAGAGTGGCAGCATGATTGCCTAATGTTAGAATCCCTACAGCAAAGGAAGAACTTGATATACTCATTGCCAACTGGTGGTGGAAAAACTCTTGTAGCTGAAATAATAATTCTCCAGGAATTGCTCTGCAGGCAGAAGGATGTTCTGATGATCCTGCCATATGTTGCCATTGTCCAAGAAAAGGTCTGGATAC